GAAACTGTTCGCATAAAACTTAGGCTACATCTAGCCAGCTCGATTGTAAATGAGACGTCGACATTAGTCTAATACTGCGCTTAAATTCGAAGAGTCTGGGCACCATAGCGACGAGCTCATCCGAACAATTACCATGAACGTATTCATAGAAAAGGCAAAAAGGAGGCAACCTTATGGTGGTGGGAAAATGACTGAAGCTGAGATGCCAGGTCAGGAGCAATAATATTGCTGATTCTTCTTTGAATTTTATCAAGGAGATCTACATAGATAATAAAAGTACAGGACCATAAGTGTCAGCAATTTTCTAAGCATAGGCGAATGGTAGCCTTATAGATATGTACGATAGATTCTGGAGAGAAAAAAAAAAAAAAAAAAAAAAAAAAAAAGACTAGCACAACACAGTGAACCAATTACAATTTTTTTCCCGCTTTCTTTTTATTTGTTAGCCAGTGATCACAGACCTATTGTTTTAAAAACTAAATAGAATCATTTGATTAATTAATTTAATGGCTAAAAAAAAAACACGTGATATGTTCATTACTATGCTCGTTGTAATCAAACCAGTTCAACCGGAACCGATTTTGTTTTTCCGATGTCAACCATGGGCAATCGCTATATTGATATTTTAAGCTATCTTGTTGGTTTCTTATTGTTTATGATGTCGCCTGCTGTTGGTCATTTATATTGATGCATGTGCACGTGTATAGCACACACAAAATAAAGAGACACATTCACTCTCTGACTACTGGGTGAAAGGATTTCTGCGTATAACTAATAAAAAAATTAAGCGGTACAAAAATTAATTTTTCGAAATTTCATAAAATTAAATAAGTGAGTGGGTAGCAGATGTAAAAAAATGTTTTTACAAGGATTTTCTTAGAAAGAAAAAATTCTAAAAAAAATTCTTTCATTTGTTAATAAGTTCTGAAAGTTTCATTAAAATCTGACAATTATTCGATTTTTGCAAGAATTTCCAAATATATGTTTTCTACTGTAAAAAGAAGCTAGAATTTTCTATACTAATCTTTATCTCCCCACCCGCTGATGCAAGGAAAACGAAATTTTTAACAAAAATTTGCGAATGGTCTAAAACGGATAAAAATATAATTTAATAATCAAGAAACCATTTTGTCTTTCCTCTTAATCATAAAATAAAGACTTTGACGATAAAACTTTGTTTTTATTATGTTTGAACCATTTTTTCATCATCTATGCTCATTTTTTTCGAATCTATGGAAGTGCCTGTAATAAAAAAAAAGGTCGAGTGTGATTTAAACCTTTTTCCGTTCCTAGATTTAAAAAACTTCCATATTGTTTTGGGATTTTATTTCCAAGCAGATTTAACCGGGTTCGATTTCATTGATAGTGCCATAGATTTTATCTCTTCCTTCATTTCGTTGTGTAAATTTTATTTTTTTACTTTTCGTGTGGGAAATCGTAAAAATCAGACGTTAATTTATTTACATCAAAGCTGTAAAAGTTTCTTAAACGCTGGAATAGCACTCGGTTAGCTTGAGGATTCCGTTAAATGGCTGATCGCTGTGTGGTTACATATATATATATATATATATATATATATATATATATATATATATATATATATATATATATATATATATATATATAATGAGAGAGATGGGAGAGTGAAAGGAAGAGATCCAGACATTCCTGACGTAATGACTGTTTAACGACCGTGGACTTTAAACCAGCTACAAAATCTCATAAAATAAAACAGATTCCAACCGGTCTGTATCGTATATATATATGGACATATGTTTTTCTTCAACAACCACATAGTCATAGTTTATGCTGCAACTATGTTAATCGGACCTTAGTTAAAGTCTCTGGGAGGAAGGATATAATCTAGCGCGATCAGTAGTTAAACAAGGCTAGTCACTTGTGATTTCATGCTAAGAAGAAACATCAACGGATTCTAAACAGTTTCGTCTAAGTTTTGGATCAACCCGTCGTATGGTTTCCAGAAACTTCTCAACGCTGGGAATCGTTTCCACAGGTTGATATTATCGAGTACACTCCCTGGAAAAATCGACGAAAATCTGTCACCCAGAACTAAATCACATATTCGGAATGCTAACTGGGTCTCATTGTTTGAACGCCAGACAATTTGCTTTTTAACACCCGCGCTTAATATCTCTTAAAATTTTCCCAAATCGTCATAATTCCGTGTAAATGTACATGCTGAACTCGAATTAACAATTAAATTATGAAGAAACCTTACAGTTTTGGAGTTATCGACAAAAAAAACGGACTTCTTGTTGGTCATTCGTCCCCCATTACTGCCATCATAAACACTGATTCACTGCGTAGTACTTCCGCTAGCGGAAGCAAAATTTAGGCATATTTAATTCTTTTACAGACTTTCCTTGCAGAAAATCACTACGCACTACCATAAAGAAATGTAATTTTTTTCTTTTTGGTAAGTGTAGTTTTATTTATAACAAAAATAAATTAAATAATACAATAGAATCTTTTTTCCGTGTTGAATAGCAATGACAAATTAAAAGAACAAATTAAATAATACAATAAAGCTTTTAAAATTAAAAGCGGACAAACTGAAAAAACATATTAAATAATACAGTAAACCCTTATTTCGTTTTATAGTATTTTTTGTTTTTTTGTAATTTTATTTTGTATATAATCATGCTCTTTACAAAGTGTTATGTTTATGGGTTAGGAGGGATTTGATTGGGTTTCTTTCTGTGTAGAAAAGGGGACAAAATAAAAAAAAATTAAATAATACAATAAACCGGGTTAACTTTAGAGTTAGGTGTTAGGGTTAAGAACTGTGTTTGGCTTTTTTCTGTGTAGAAAAGGGGACAAATTAAAAAAAAAATTAAATAATAAATTCAACCCTTCTACTTTACCAAGTTTGTGCATAATTTTTGTTTTATTTTCAATTTTAAAATATAAAATTACTTTATTTTTATTATTTAATTTGTTCTTTTAATTTGTCATTGCTATTCTACACAGAAAAAAAGGTTTTATTGTATTATTTAATTTGTTTTTGTTTAAAGTTTCCTGTTATAAATAAGACTACACTTATCAAAAAGAAAAAAAATACGATAATGCATAGAGATTTCAAAAACAGATATAGCTGTAAAAGAAGTAAATAGGCCAAATTTTATGATTGCGCCACCGGAAATCTTGAATAGTAGTCAGGGCAGAATGTATTAAAACAATGCCTGTAATGGGGGACGAATTACAAACAAGAAGTCTCGTTTTTTTCTTGTCGATAACTCCAGAACGGTAGGTTTCTTCATAATTTAATTGTTAATTCGAGTTCAGCATGTATATTTACACAGAATTATGATGATTTGGGAAAATTTGAAGAGATATTTAGCGCGGGTGTTAAAAAGCAAATTTACCCAGGTTTTTTGATAATCGGAGCACAAACTGGGTCTTATAGTCGGAACGCTAATCACTCAGATACACGCCCAATATTACATTTCGTTATAGACATTTATTCATACTGAATATCATCGTGAGATCAGCATAAAAATTCGATTACTCCATTATCGACTCTTCGGTTCTAAAAATCACATGATGCAAAAGCGACTATACAGATCAACCTGTCTCTCTTTCTCTCCCAATCAAAATCTACCCCACACACAAATATATATTTGTGTATGTGTGTGTGTGTGTGTGTGTGTGTGTGTGTGTGTGTGTGTGTACTTGTAGTAGTTGGTTTAACTGCTAATTCCGTTTAACACACTCCAGAAACGCCGTAAGAATTCTTTTGAGAACAAATATTTGAATTTCGACCTTTATTAAAACTTCCTTATGGCCATGTAGCACTGCACGCATTGCTCGCTCTACCGACAACAGTAAAAAAAAAAAGGTTGAAAGCCTTGAACGCTATTCCTTTGTATACGTGTGAATATAGATTCGTTTATATACAACTACATAGGAAAGTATGCTAAAAATCTCTCGGAGCGATTCATTTGCCCAATTCTAACCAAATAGACAAACAGATTTGTAAGTAATATATACCAAGTGTAACAGCAAAATTGTCCAAATCGTGTAACAGCAAAATTTTCCATTTGTTAGATTAAGCTTTGTGCCGTTGTATCTGAGAAATGATTAAAGACTTCTTACATCTTACATGGCCTCCAGACGACTTCGGAATCTCCTGCATCTCTTCTGGACAATTTCCTTGTTTGAGTTGGTGAATGCTGTCATAATCCTTGTTTTCAGTTCATCTTTGGTGTTGCAAGGAGTTTTGTTGATCTTTCGCACAACTGCACCCCCCACACAATAATCAACGCGGTTTCAGTCTGTGGAGTCCGGTGGCCAGATATAAGACGTGACGTGGTCGCAAAAAATTGTCTGACATCCATAACAGGGTTCTCCTGCTTGTGTGACATGACGCAGAGTCCTGTTGCCAGACATAGGGTCTTTTGACCCAGAGCAGCACTACCTCCTGAAGGCATTTGATGATTTGAGTCTGAGGCCCTCACCAACAAATTCGGGAGTTCTTTTCTTATCAGAACGATCAGAATTTTTCTGAGCTACCGTACCTTTGTAATCACTATTAGACTCATCCAACTCTTTACGAATCCTCTGCACTGTCCTCAGATAGACACACAAAGACTCTGAAATGTTCGCACTGAAGCTTCCGGTGCTAATGCCAAGCAGTGCAGTATGCCGTTTCCAAATTTCTGGCGGAGTGAATTGCGTCATGGTGCTCTTTTTCTCACAGAGAGTACCCAGGTGACCCTACTATAGTGTGTAGTCGACAAAAACAAATAATGCGCATGCATGAAACTAAAAATATAAAATGACAACAATTTACCCATCGCACTATATATATATATATATATATATATATAGACAAGTGACAATGAAACAGGGTGCAGACATATAGTTTTGTGCTTGCTCTCAAGGCTGATATGAAAATAGGGCACATCAAAATAAATTCTAATTCGGTTCGCCGATAAAACTTTGTGCGCAGATAAACGAATTTGTAAGAAATGATAATGCTAATATGTTCTGGCGAAAAGAGGATTAATACTATATTCATTATGTTCATTAAAAGGATAGATAGATAGATAGATAGATAGATAGATAGATATGAAGAGACTAAGATATATATATATTAAGAGACTAGATATATAGTTATGAAGTCACTCAGATAGATAGATAGATAGATATGAAGAGACTAAGATATATATATATATATATATATATATATATATATATATATAAGAGACTAGATATATAGTTATGAAGTCACTCAGATAGATAGATAGATATGAAGAGACTAAGATATATATATATATATTAAGAGACTAGATATATAGTTATGAAGTCACTCAGATAGATAGATAGATAGATAGATAGATAGATAGATAGATAGATAGATAGATTTAAATGTACAGGAAGCTATTCCTGTTTCATAGGTGAAAAACTGGACACTTACGAATAATAATCACAAAACATACAAAGAAAGACAAAAAAAAAATGACATATTCTCAATCGTTTATAGTCTAATGAAGTCTGGAGAAATATAGGATTCGCGAGTAATTTTAAAGTAATTAACAGAATTTCCACTTGAAATAAACTCAAGCAAAAGGAAATCATGAATATAACAAAAGTCGACGTTGAATCGACGATTCAAACATAGTAACACAAAATGTCAAGTTCGAAATTAATGTCAATTTCGTGGAAAAGAGCGCACACTTTTACTTTTACTTTTCCTTCTTCATCTTGCAGATATTGTGTTGTCCGTTTTATTATTATTATGTTGACTGTCGTTATTCGTCGGTGCCTGTTTTTGAAACTAAGGTTAAAGACGACTGGGCAGAGAAAGGTGTCATTCAAAAGCATTAAATGCATATAAACAATCTAAGATAGAAAAATACGTCCCAAAAAGCTGTCTGTGTGATACATAATAAAAAGCAAATATTATTAGCAAATATTCGTGCGTGACTGTTTTCTTCAGTCTTTAGTTTTCAAAAAAAGAAAAGAAACGTTGGTCTATATATATATATATATATATATATATATATATATATATATATATATATATATATATATATATATATATATATATAATAAAAAGGCTTAAACACTAATATTCCATGGTCATAATTTATTCCATTGGAATCGTAAATACGATCCAATTTATCAGACCTACAAATTCAAAAAGAAAACAGAAAAAACAACTCCGGGAATAAAAAAATAAGAAAAATAAAATTTAGTGAGAGTGTATGTATGAGAGTGTGGGACGAATGTTAGAGTAAATGAAAGCTATAGAGAGGGGTAACAGACGAGAGAAGAACAGGAAAGTCTAAAGATGAAGGGGTGGGGATTAAAATTTAACAGAGACAAGTTTTAAAGAGGGGAGTCAAAGACGGTTTAAGTGAGAGAAATATGAATGTTATCGGATGTCTAATACATTAAAGATGTAACCGGAAAGGATACATTTTGTGGTGACATACACACACAATAGATGATATAATCTTAAAGATCAGAAGATGAGAGAAGGAGAGGAAAAGAAAAGAAAAGAAAAGAAAAGAAAAGAAAAAAAAAAGGGGTAGAGGAGAGAGATGGGGCAGGGGGAACTAAAACCGAAATGTATATTTACCACTAATATTATCTATCTATCTATCTATATATATATATATATATATATATATATATAGTTAATAGAAATATAAAATTTGGATACTTTTCGGTTATCTATCGGCATTTTAAAAATTTTTCACAAATACATATGCGTAAAAATATATTATCCCAAAGATTCATTTAGCAGTACGAAGAAAAATAATGAATTAAAAAAAAATTAAATACCACATCTAACTTTATAAAAGGTCACCAATACGGAAATTAAATGGTGGATACAGATAATCCATAAGAAACGCAATTTAAAAAGTGACCACAGATAATCCACAATTACCAAAATTTGTCATTTAGCTGATTGATGTTTCATTCAGCACCCCGACTCCAGAGTTTCGTAAACGATTCTTTTTGTAATCGTTCGGGAGGTATCAGCAATTGTCTGCGTTTTTTTTTTTACCATTTTCTTTATTTTTATATTAAGTTAAAAAAAAATATTTTCTTTTTATTGATCTTAGGTTGATTTTTTAATTGTTTGTATGTATGTGCGTGTGTGCGCGTGCGTGTGTGTGTACGTGTATGCCTGTACGTGTATGTATGTACATACATACATAAGAAAACACAAAAGGAAAACTTTTCTATACCAACGTCTTTCGTTTCTTGAGGAATTTTATCAATGTAAATATTGATATTTTATTTTGGAAATTGTATCTATAACAGAAGTAACTTGGAAGAGAATATCGTTGTTTTCAGTTTGAATTTGAGAACGCACTAAAATATAAGCTTGTTGTGTAAGGAAAAGTAAACTATGGAAGATTCTAAGTGATGTAACCTATTGCCTAATAAAATAAGTAAATGTTGTTGTTGAATTTTTATTCATTTTATGTAATTATTATTTATTTCATGGATTTTGTTTATTTTTTTAATTATTTATGTATTAATTTATTTTAAATATTTAAAAGTCTTGAGTTCAGTTTTCTTTTAATTTAAAACAAATTATAGTCATGTAGCGATTTTCCAAGCGTAGCTGAGATGTGACACAAGGCCAAAAATATGGAGCACCCAGTGAGGATCGAACTCACTACTCATTCGCAATTGTACTAGCGAAACAAGCTTGCTAACCATTACACCGCCTTACATGACCATAATTGACATAAATTATAGTCATGTATGTTGTTGCATAGATCGCAGATATTCTGAATCATTTCCGGTAAGCTCTTGCCGTAAGATCGACAGGCCGCGGCAATTTTGTGGTCACCCCCTTGTCCCTTCTGTTCCCACCTGTAGACGCTGATGTCATGCTTGCCGAGTAATTGAAGGGTACATTTGCTACTGATCATTTCTTGTTGGTATGTGTTTAGTTTACCACTTGTAATTTTTGCCAAGGGATGCAGGCATCAAACGATCCCTTCCTTCACACTGTATGGATGATGGGAATTGAAATTGAGCTCTTGTCCTGTGAAGGTTGGCGATTTATATACAAATGTGTTGAATCTATTCTCTGTGTGAATTATCAGTACAGCCAGGCCAGTTGATTATTGTTTTCTTCTTCCATTGTGAACGGGATCAAAGAAGAACACTTGGTAGATGATGATGATATTTTTGTTCAAGGTTATTCTTATTCCAATTATAAATGTGTTTGAACAGCACAAAAGCATTAAGATTTTGAATTGTAAAATGCCGATAATTTATAATCTACAACCTTGGTTGAGTATATCATTTTCACATAGAAAACGGCTCCTGAATAGTGTTATTTATCATTTAAACAACTGTCAGGATATGTTTTGTGGGAGTCTCCCCTAGTTTAACACAAAATTGAATGCATAGATGCTGCCGTAGTTTCCATTTCCATGACTTCGCGATGCTGCTTTCAATAAGACACAACAAAACCGTTACATTTTTCGAAAAGTGGATATTATCAATATGAGATTATGTAAAAAAAACTATCCACACTTGAAGAGCTGATTGATGTGGTGTCATAGTTAGCAGGCTTTTCTCACTCTATCACTTAAGAGTGAGTTCGATCCATAGTGATTGCTTCTTAACCTCGGCTTTGTGCCACATCTAGGCTGAAACTAGGAAATCCCTAAGCAGGTTTGAATGAGGCTTGAGAAATTTTGATGTATTGTCCTATATACGAATAGAACTTCCACTTTAAATTTGGCCACATTCCGTCAGAGTGGACATACGAGTAAATGTCTACTTCCTTCAAATTTCAATCGGTTTGCACACTTGGATAATCAAGAAATTGATTATAGCGAACATGTGCTTCCATCATTTTACTTTGAAATGATTGAATGTCTGTACCACTTTAGTAAAAACCTGACTCCTCCTAGTATCCTCTACTTTTACAAGAGCCAGACCAAGCCTAAAATGGAGCACTGCTGAGATATCTGGGCAGGAGCTACACAATCCTCACTTTCCAGTCTAAAATAAAGTCTAAAAGCGTCGAGTTCGAATTCCAGTCGAATCCATCACATTCACTTACGTGCTAATACCCTTGAGAAAAGGTATGAACCCTCTTCTTCTCCCCATAGCTATGGATAAATAGCGAGACAGACCGGGTTCTATAGCCATGAATGGCAACTGGTCTACCGCAGAAAGAAATGGCAACCTACTGCGGGAAAAAAATTTGCCTTGTCTGTCATGTATCAAAAGATACATGATCGACTAAGCGTGTATCACGCATGTCACATAACTGACTGACGTGGTAATATCCTTGGGAAAGGTATGAATCCTCTTCTTCTCCCCCCAGCTATGGGTAAATAGCAGGACAGACCAGGTTTTATAGCGTTGGATGGCAACTGGTCTACCGCAGAAAGAAATGGCAACTTACTGCGGGAAAAAATATGCTTCGTCAGTCATGTATCTTCCGATACATGATCGCTTAAGCATGTATCATGCATGGCACATAGCTTATTGACTAAAAGCGTCTCCTTGCCCTTGTGAATGACAAATTATTTTCCAGCCTACAACCTCTTTCTCACAGACGAAACGTCGCTACCCTCTCACTGCTCTCTCGCTATTTTTATGGAAATGGCTCGGAGGAAGTACATTCCTTAATTCCACCAGTTTTAACCTAGACGGCTAAAACCCGCCATGACACACAGATTCTAGCGAACTACTTCTCATTCCCTTCGTATTCCATTGGTGAGAAGTGAGTTCTTCTCGATTAACGTTTTCCCGCGAACTACTACTCTGTGGAAACGACACCCAAGAGGATGTTTTCTTGATCACTACAATCTTAACTTGTTCAAGTTCAGGGTTAACCGTTATTTTCTCCATGTATCTGCATAAACTGTGCCTCTTACTCTGTAGACCTCTACTTCGAGTGGCTCCCGAGCCTTCTAGGAAAGAAACGGTCTCATAAATTCGCAATTTTGATATAAACCATTAGAAAAAGATGAACAAACGTAAATGTGTGTCCAATACTAGCAAGCAAAGAAAGAACGAGGAAAGAAATATGGAAAGAGAATTAAGAAAAGATAAAAGAATGAAAGGAGGCAAATATTTCTCCGGTCAGAAATCGAATACGCCTAAAATATCCCTGGCGCTGACCCAAGAATAAATTCGCATGAAATCAGCATAGAAATATTTCTAATAATTGAAACAAAATCAGTTTGAAGTCTATCTCGTTATAAACAAAGTTTTACGCATAAAACCACAATCATGCGACCAACCAATACATATCTATTGAAAACAAAACAAAGTGGGTGGATTTAAATTTTAAAGGCGAGACACATTTTGACATTTTGCGGTGCAAATTTGGCTACAGTGAATTAATTTGGTTCGAGCATTCTGTAAATAAAAATTTTAAATTCCTGTCTTATTTCTTCAACTAATAATTCATCGAACTTAGACATGGTGCTATGTCCAAGGCACAAAATGTCTTTCAGGAGACGATTAACAAAATTAACTCTTATCTGGTGGGAATAAGTCTTGGACCAAAAGAACCATTTCCCAGGCTTCCAAATGAGAAATACCATTTTTGTTTTTAAGTAGTTTTCCCACGAAACACAGAGTTCTTTTTCTTTCTTTTCTTTCTATCTTTCTTTCTTTCTTTCTTTCTTTCTTAGTAATACTCAACCGTATTGAGTTACCGGTTACAGCAATGAGCTATAGACCACGAAGTCTGAAATTTCGTTTTTAAAAATTATTTCACCCCATGTAAGGCGATAAAACCACTAGTGTGTAAGGGTTACTGAGAGAGAGAGAGAGAGAGAGAGAGAGAGAGAGAGAGAGAGAGAGAGGGCGGGGAGAGAGGATAATAAAAGAACACGCTTTAGAGAGATAGAATACGACGATTGACACTGCATTTTTGAAGATTGTAGTTGACAGGAAAACAGGAAGCAGGGCGAGAAGTGAGAGAAAAGACACAATTAACACAAAGCATATGGTTACAACTAGCAATTTCAAAAGTGAAATTATGAGACCTAAATGTCAATCTAGTATTGTGTTTAAATTGTTCAAGTCGAGGTACCAACGAGGAAAGCGCGTCAGAACAACTACCGTGAAAATATTTATAGAAGTGTGCTGTAACCTAGAAAAGGTTACTGAATGAGGAATAACCAAAACGGAGATTGGAAATGAAATGGTAATCTTTATAACATCAACAAAATACAATACTCGCCAGCAGCGTGAAGTAGGTAAACCATTGCTAGTAGTGGATTACTTAGACAGCATATTAATGATTTTCCAAGCGTAGCTTAGATGTGGCACACGGCCGAAATTAGGGGATACCCTGTGAGGATCGAACTCACTACTCAGTCGTAATATTAATCCCACTTACAATAGTGTCCAACGTATTTATGAGGATTGGGAGATGCCCATTAGTATTCATAGGTACGGTATATAATAAAGAGGCAAAGAGAAATCACATTACACTCATGGGAAAGGGAGGAAAATTGAAACGTCTGGCCTGTACCGATAACGTTGCAAATTTTTCTTTGGATTTTGTCAAGTCTCTCTAGACATATTGTAGAACCGCCAGACCAGATGTGACAGACGAATGCACTGATGAATGGTAAAACTTATAAATATGCAAGATAGATTCTGACGAGGAAAATTATCTAACATGTATATAGTGAATTGAATTTCCAGGCAGCAGTTGATTCAATGGAATCATTTCACTTCGTCTCATTGGAACACCTGAGACCAAGAAGATGCAGTGAGTTGATGTCCTGGAAATTAGCATAAACCCTGCTGATGGAAAGCAAAAACGGTTCTTTAAGATGATTAATAGAAGGCAGTTTCGTTTTAGATGCGTTAAAATTAACAAGCAACTTCTTGCCCCAGTTAACAACAGACCGTAGGTTATTTTCGAGATCAGCTGCCAATTTGGTTTCATCGAATTTATCAGACTTACTATTAAGGCAACAAGTGTTGTGTTATTTGGATAGACACTGAGTCTAGAACTGATAACATCAGGAAGGTCGTTGATGAAAATAAAGAACAGAGAAGATCCGAAAATAAATCCCTGAGGGAAGCCCACATTAATACAAAATGATTTCATGACGCAGTTTGCTATATAAAAAAAGATTGAATCAAATGAAAACTACATAAAAATGTGCTGACAAAAAAAAAAAAAAAAAAAAAAAAAGGGAGGAAAATTTTAAATAACGGATTTATAAATAAAATAGAGTAAGAATCGTTTTTGGTGATATATCAAATATCAAGATTTATCCAAACAACACGAATGGACTTTGGCACAAGATTGATACGATGTCTAATATCTGAGTAGGAATGTGTTACTAATATTCTATAGTATAGGAATCACTGTTTTCTGTATCTGTCAGTTTAAAAGTGACCCATCTGTTTTACAAATTGATTTATATATGTGATGATTTATGATATTTAGGTTCATGGAAAACCTTTCAAATCTTTGTTTCCTCCATTTCAAGGATTTCAAATCGTAATTTGAAGAGCCATTACTTTTCAGTTTCATCTGATGCTGACTCCGTTCTTAGTTAAATAAATACTTGTTCTCATACAAAGGAAATTATATTTTTAGGACTTTTACTGTGGGGTTGATTTGTATCTTATTTTGTCAGCGACAGGCAAACAGAGAAATTTTAAGAAAAATAAAATTACACTATCCTCCTTACATTCCTGATAAACAAAATAAATATGATTGTCCATGCTATCTAAATTCATAAAAAAAAATCATTGTTTACGACGTTCAAATTTCAGATCGCAATTTGAAGTGCCATTTTTTCGCGGTGTAATACTGTTATATCTGATGCTGGTTTCGTTCTCAATTTGCTTACGAAGAAAGTTTTTTCTCAAACACCCAAATTACGTATTTGTTCTTTGTTTTCTGTTTTTTAAAATTTTTTAGCTCATCTTGACACTGATAGAAACGTAGAAAGAGACAGCAGAAGTCCCAGAAAAAGAAATTTACGCTATCCTCTCAACATTCCTGATAAACAAGTGACGTGTCTCTCACCTAAAATTTAAGGAGACATGACATAAGGAGAGGCAATTATTTTTACCCAGATTTGACATTCAGTAAAGGCACATTCATTGTCAATTACTCAATTGACTTGAAAAAGGGAAATAACCGAATATTCGCTTCACAAAACCTCTTACTCCAGAAGCCCAGAAATATCAGATTTCGAAAGGAAAGTTTTGTTGTATACTTTTCCTTGTTGGAAGTGTGTGTTGGCTGGTCTCATCTCGTCTGGCCGGTGATCGCTGGTCGTTTTTGTTCAATCCTCCTCTTCTCTTGGTCGATGTCGCGAAATGTTCTTTGGGTTCAGAGACGAAAAGCATCAACAAAGAGAACTTTTAACTTAACTATTATTTTATTAATCACGTTGAGGGGTATATCTACTATCAAGTCGGGGTTACTACCCCTCCTATCAAGGAGCCGTTTCAAAACAGGAAAATCTCATACGTCCATTTTCTTTGGCGTGTAACAACCAACTCTCGAAAGACCCTTTCCACAGAGGGGGGGGGGCACAACTGCAATCTAATACGTCTAATTAGCCTGACGTTCGAACAGCAAAACCTTAACCTATAACTAATTCCCACGTTCAAATCAGCCAATCAAAATTGACATCCTATTTTGTCTACCATCTGACGTCAAAGGCCAACCTCAGAAGGTCTGAGCCAAAATAAAAAAAATAAAAGTCTAAAACTATTATTTAACAGTTTTATTTTCGATCTACAGTTCATTATTAAAGACAATAAAACTAATTATAATGAGAAAAGAGGGATTGGAGAGATGAAGAGGGAATTTGGTTCTAAAGGAGGATGGTAAGAATATCATAGATGGAGCATGTGAACAATGGGGAAGATTTAAAGACACTAGAAATGAAAATGACTCTTAAGATTAAGATTAGAAAGAGATAGTTGAAATTCCTGGGATACATAACTAGAAAATGGGGCTCGGAAAATTAGATACTCACAGGGCGTGTTGAAGACAAGAGGGTAAGAGGGAAACAGTGAGCAACTTATCTAACAAGCCTGTGTAAATGAATAGTAGAACAGAGACTGGTAGGAATAGAAAGTAGACAAACACTAGTTAGATCTACAAAGGATAGGAAGTTGTGAAGGGTTGTGATCGCTTAGTTCTGAGGGACACAGATCATAAAAGAAATTCTCGTCTAGGTTTTCCCGAGATTATCAGGATGACGCATTCTTGGGATGAGTCTATGGATTAAGGTCGTTCCTATTCAGATCAAACCAGGGTTGGCATCACAGCATTGATTTCTCTGTGGGCCTGTGACATAAGGCATTTACCAGCCTATCAGAGAAATACGACTTACTGCAACACATCCACGCACAGTTGCTGCCCATCTCATTCTTCCATCGACAGACTATCATAATATTTGCATAGTTATTTTTTCACACATATATATTTTTAATTACGTTGGGTTGTTTAATTTTAAATGTCAACACTTGTTCGGTTATATAATGTAGAAAGCAGGCTTTTAGTTGAGTCTTTATGTAATTACTTCATTCGTGGATCCTCATTAAACTCAGACCTTGTGTCATATTTCTGCTGTGCCGTGAGAGCACCGATAAACATGTACTTGATTCAGGCATAGGTAAATATTGGTTGTTTATATATGAGCCTATAAGCATTTACTGGTTTCAAGGATAGGTAAAATTTGGTTGTTTATAGATGAGTCTATAAGCCAGTGCTTCTCAACCTTTTTAAGCAACGGCAGACCTAGGAGCAAATGAAAATATCACGGCACATTTTTAAAGGGTTTACATTTAAATGTTATGAAATAAAAATATAGATTAAAAAACATGTAAACACAAATATGCATTTACTTTAATTCAATGTTTCTATTCAACTATTTGTGCAGCTGATTTAGTGTGAAAATTGTTCCCGTTTTTTTTTTTTTTCACAATTTCTTCAATGTTTGGTCGAATGTGCGATAAGCAGGCTCTTCTTCATTTCTTCTTCAGTTGAGCGTAGACTTTCTGGCTTCTTATTTTTTGGTATTATTTAAGGTTGAGAAGCCTAATTCACATAAATAAGTAGAAAATTGCAAAAGAACTGATAAAGACTTTTTAGATAAGTTGGGATATTCCTTTCTTTTGTATTGAAATCCAAAAATGTATTAATGGGTACCGTCGAATGTTTTATTTTGAGCACTCGTTTACTAGAAATGGTGGCTAATTATTCTTTTTCACATAGCTGAAGTCCAATATTAGTAGGAGCATTTATAAAGGGATTTCAAATCCAATCCTACTTGTTTTTGCTTAATGCCAGAAACTAATAGTTGATTTTATATATAAGTCTATAACCATTTACTGGTTTCGAGGATAGGTAAGTATATATAAAAGTCTACAGCAATTTTGGAATTTAGGACAACTTCTTCCTATGAAAGATCTCTACATATATCCCATCCACTGTAATAACTCCCCCACCCTTCTTAGTATTCGATACAGTTGTACCCTCGCTAAATTTTCATTACTTGGTCGTTTCAGACTTTAGTGCCTATAGACAAAAACCGTGCATTCGCTTAGAGATAACTTCACGTGCACGAATTGTGGTGATAAAAATTACTTCACATCGGCGAGGTTGATTGATTGGTTGGTGATTTTGTTTAGCAGCATATCAGCCTCTATGGGTTATGTAATGTCGAAATCTAAATATTTTGTGCGCAATTTTATGGCTTCACCTAAATATATTTTGGAATCAATTTTAAGGCTTCACCTAAATATATGTTGTACACAATTATAAGGTTTTACTTAAATATATTTTGAACGCAATTTCAAGGCTTCACCTAAAAATATTTTGCGCGCAATTTTATGGCTTCAC